CGACGTCTCCGAGACCGCCTCTGTGTCCGAAGCGCGCGACCTCAGGCGGAGGGACTCGACCGCCTCGTCGGTGCTCCTCGCCGACCAGAACGTGGAGCAGGTGCAGCGCACGCGCGTGGCGAAGCTCTCGAGGCACTTTGGCACGAGCATCCCGCCCGAGGTCCTGCACCGCGCGACGTCACCGCCGCCATCGAGCTCTTCGGCGCTTTTGCCTTCACCGACGGCGGTTCTTAGCTCGGCTCAGCTCCCGCGACGCTCGTCGTCGCTTCGTCGGGTGCGGCGCCGCCGGCCTGCCAGCCTTGACATTCGACCGATTCCGGGCATCGCGCCTCTGCCGCACAGTCCTCCGGGCTCGCCGTCGGAGCAGACGAAACCGGGAGGCAGCTTGAAGCGAAGCAGATCTCTGTGGGCCAAGCGGCCAAAGGAGTATGAGGATGCGATGGTGAAAGACGAGGACAAAAGCGAACCCGAGTTGACCCTGCCGCGGCCAGTGTCGTTGAGCGAGAAGCAACGTGTGTTGAATGTCAAGCGAGCCCGGAAAATGGCGCAGGTGCGTGCTTCTATCATTTCTCATGTCTAATTATCTGACTAGACCGCTCTATCATGTGATCTACAGCTTTTTGGCGACAATCCACCGTCCGCGCTGTTCCAGGTCACGAACTTCGCACCTGGGTTCGCTGAGGACGGTGACGGGACTGGCCACCATAACTCCGACGGCCATCGCTATGAACGTGACTCGCTTGCCACAATCATCTCGATCTCGACGACTTCTCTCTCCCCAATGCTGTCAGCAACGGGCAAGTCGAAGTTGCGCGATTCGTTTCTTACAACCTCCTCCGAGATATCGGGTCTAGTCCTGACGGGGGATGAAGATGACCCGAGGAAAAGAAGAGGTCTGTGTCCCAAGAGTCGGAAGACATAACAAATCAGGCGCAGAGCTCGACTGTCTCGATCCTGAGTCCACTGCCGGTGACACCTGGGAAAGGAGTTCACTCCAAGACGAACCCAATGCTGAGCACGTCTAGCAGATCCCTTCAATCTAACCGCACGCTGTCTACACCCCAGTCTACAGGGTCACATCTACCGGAGACGCGTCCCACACCACCACCTTTCACCAACCTCGTCTCAACACCGGCGATGCGGCCTGCGACGGCACCACCCTCGTCACCGGCGCCGTCCGAATTTCAGACGCGTAGACGACGAGCAGCGAAGCTCTCCAAGTTCTTCGGCGTCAAAGTGAACGAGCTGGCCGGAGCGCTCTCTGCAGACTCTCCGCCCGAAGCCTCGACCCGGAAGACGTCAATAGCGCTAGAAGGCCCGCGGGAGCGTTCGCTGTCCGGCGGGCTCGGTCACCACACCTCGGTAGTGGTGGCAGAGGCGCGCCGACGGCGGTTCCTGGGCCTGGGTGACGAGGACATAGAGGAACGGGATCTGTCCGAAGTCATCGACCAGCTGCGCAAGCTGCGGTCTTGAAACGCTGGATCCCGAAAAAAAAAA